AAACACAGCACAGCATTTCAAATGTCAGCTCCTGTGCAACACTGGGCAGCCCTGGTGCCCTTCTGACCCCAGGCAGGTGTGGTGCGCTCTGCTGCCGCTTTGAGGTCTCTCACTTTGGAAAAATGATGCCAACAGTCCTGGTTTTATTCCCATGCAGAATTGGGAAATGGTTTAAATCTTAAAATGTTAACGGGAGAAGAACACAATTTCCTGAGTTTAGGCTTTTCTCCTGACACATACTGCAGCCAGGCTGTGCAAGCTGCTCCCGATATACCCCCATGCTGACAAGCCCTGCCTCTGCCCAGCAGTCCTCCCGGGGGCTGTTTTGGAGGTTCATGCACATTGTTTTTCTCTAACTCTGTGGCCCAGAGCTGCAGCTAATCTTCCTCCCATAGCCGGCAGACCCTTCTCTTAGCTAATCTGTGTCAAACCTCTGCATCATACAGCAACCTCCTATCTCTGCTCTATGCTCTCAACTTCTGAGAAGCAACGCTGGGGAAAACACATCCCTCCCAGCAGCCCCATGCCTTGTAACTTGTCTTCCCCTGCTCAACATCAGTTAGTTTTTCAAATATTCTAAAAGAGCAGATATGCTGTAAATGCCTGCAGCGCATGTAAGACTTTCTGCCAAAATCTGATATTTTTATCCTCACTGTGACTCCTTATATCCAAATGAAAGAGGTGCCATGAACAGTGACTGCACTCTGTAGTCAACGATCCCAGGTATGTGTAGACATATTTCTCAGCACTTTTAAGCAATTTGTTCAAGCAGCCAAGAAGACAGAATGGGGCTCATTATAATTACAGTAGCTGCCACTAAAATTCAACATTTCCCTGCAAAACTATATATTTATCACACTTGTTCCATGTTTCAAACACGAGGGGAAAAAGATCTTTTTGTGACAAACAGGTCCAGAGCTTCTTACTGTCCAACAGTTTGGCTTCTACATTAGTTACACTTCTATACATCAGCATTCTGCATCCATGTTATGTCAGCTTGTTTCAAGCCACAATTATCTCATTGGCATACTAAGGCACTGCTTTAACAGATGTCAGGTTTTTAATCCTAAATGACTCTGTAAACCATAACAAATATCTTACCTTCTGAAAAAGCTGGCTTTTCCCTTTATTTTCTATTGGCTTACCTGATCTTAGTATCTTTAATCCTTGAAGTGGTGAATCTAAATGTTAATCTCTAGTTAATTTCTAAATATATTCCAATTAAGTCTGAAAAGCAGCATGACCTACATCCTCTTCTAGTAAAAAACTGGCTAAGATATACTTAAAATGGTCTTCTTCAAAGGTGGAGGAATTCTAACTCTTCCAGATACTTTATATGTTACATGAAGAAGTAGCAAAACAGTTTTCTTTAAGGAAATACTATTGTAAAAACGACTGAAATTGCCAAGCTTCCACCCACTCCCTTCTCAGACAAAAGCACCACTCATCTCCCAGCCTTCCCCTCCTGAGTGGGTTGCACAGCCACTTTCCATGGCTCTTTCACAGAGAACAACATGTACTGAAGCCCTGATAAAGCAGGGAGCAGTCAGCTCCCATGCTTCTTAGGACAGTTCCTCATTAGAAAGACAAAGTAGGCTTTCTGATTTGGTCAGAGGTCTAGCACTGCACTGCACAAAGTCCTCCAAATGTCTGAAACATTAATACAAGAACAGAACAGATCAGAACAGAACAGGATAGGACAGATTTCAGTTGGAAGTGACCTACAACAACCATCTAGCCCAACTGCCTGACCAATTCAGGGATGCCCAAAAGTTACAGCATGTTATTAGGGCATTGAGCCAATGACTCTTCACCACTGACTTCACATTGAGCCAATGACTCTTCATCAACCAGCTCTCCAGAAAGCCTGTGGCAGTGTCTGAACACCCTCTGTAACAAAATGCTTCCTAATGTCAAGTCTAAACATTCCTTGAGGAGCCTTGTTTAAATTATCTGTTGGAATGTTTGCAACCATGGACACACACTTTGGTTCACATGCACACAGCGATATACAGAATCTTTCCTTTGGATTCCCTCAGGTTTGCTGCTTTTTCCCAGCCACATCACATGCCTTTATTTCCTTGGACAATCAATACTATAACAGCTCCACCACTATAGCAACACTCCCACAGTTAGAGATTTCTTCCAAGTACAGGCTGCCAACACATCCACTTCACCTTGAACAGGGAAAGGTACCACAGAAGTAACCCAGGTAGTGGACGTGTGGTTTCCACACTCATCTTCCCAGCATAAGCCAAGGATCTGCCTACACTGTCCTACTGCTCCTAGTAAGCTGGATGAGCGCAGGATGAACAAACTTATCCTAATTTGCTACACACAAACAATAAGCCTTGCAAGTGAAACACAAAGCTGGCAGATCATTTGTTGTCTTCAAGAGTTGGCAAGAAATAGGTTAGCAGCATTCCCACATCATCCTGAGCATATATCCACTTAACAGAATTAAGCAGTAGAAATTCAACATCTTTTACTACCCTTAATTAAGTAAGTCTTATTTGAGTGAAGGAAGAAGGTACAAACTGATGAAGGGTCACCCCCATTCCTGAAGCAATTTCAAGACAATTACATTCAGTCTGCCACAGTTTCAGTGCCATTCTCACTTCTGATTAGAAGCAACACTTGATCTCCACATGTAAGATGGCTCTGGGGTGCAGAGACTAATAATACACCTGCTCTCCCAGTGGAATTTTGCTCTGGGTAGTGATTAGCCGGGACCACATCCCCTGTGCATGGTGGAAATAAAGTAAACCTTGATTAACAGCAGCCCTCACCCATCAGGAGGTGGGTAGGGGCACCAGTATTTAACACATCAGGTGTACTGTTCCCCACTGAAGTTTATACATTCTAAAGAAATAATAAACTTGTTGATTTTGGGCCTGACTGAAGCTACTTATGCAGAGGAACTGCATATTCTCTGCTACTTGCAGTTAAGGAAAGGTGTACAGAAGTTTGTAAACATAACGCAGCAGCTTCAGCTCTGTGGAGCAGTGCAGATAAGAACCACTTGTCTGGTATCTCATTGCAGATCAGAGCTTGAGGCTCCAGCAGAGCACTAACCTCTGTTTATAGCCCTTTATAGCCCTTTTATCTATGTTGTTTTAAAAGCAGATTACACTTACACAAAACATTTTAACATTGTAGCAGATTGAAATTACCCTAAATTAAAAACTGCATCCTGAGTCTTCTAAAAGCTGTTCAGGTTATAAACTGTGTTTAATGAGCTGGACACATCTTTCTGCAATCACCCAAAGCTAGGAATTGATTAAGCAGCCATCAGACTTCTGTGCAAGTGCTCCATTAGAATATAATTTTCAGCTGCACTGTGACATGGAAGTAGATTTAAAATCTGCATAAAATTGTTTTCTGCAGGCAACTGCTAGAAATCACAAATACTGCTGTACTTACATAAAAGCTGTGTCAGTGAGCAGTGAATTAAAAGCAAACAAGGACTGCAAACAAGGATATGGTCATACATGATGGCAAAGTAGAACCCAAGGTATATAGAAGACACAGTGACTGTGTTTATAGGAATGATGATAGCAAAACAGCAATTAGAATTTCACATTTATACAGAGGATTTAGGGGTGTTGGTCAATGAGAAACTTAACAGGAGCCGGCTTCAGTGTGCACTTAAGCCCAGAAAACACCTGTATCCTGGGCTGCATCAAAAGGAGCGTGACCAGCAGGTCGAAGGAGGTGATCCTGCCCCTCTACTCTGCTCTCATGAGACCTCACTTGGAGCATTGTGTGCAGTTCTGGTGTCCTCAACATAAAAAGGACATGGAACTGTTGGAACAAGTCCAGAGGAGGCCACGAGGATGATCAGGGGCTGGAGTACCTCCCATATGAAGACAGACTGAGAACACTGGGACTGGAGAAGAGAAGCTGCAACAGAGACCTCAGAGCAGCTTCCAGTGTCTGAAGGGGGCTACAAAGATGCTGGGGAGGGACTCTTCATCAGGGACTGTAGTGACAGGACAAGGGGTAACTGGTTTAAACTTAAGCAGGGGGAGTTCAGTTAGATATAAGGAAGATGTTCTTTACTATGAGGATGGTGAGGCACTGGCACAGGTTGCCCAAAGAAGTGGTAAATGCTCCATCCCTGGCAGTGTTAAAGGCCAGGTTGGACAGAGCGTTGGGCAACATGGTCTAGGGTAAGGCATCCCAGCCCATGGCAAGGGGGGTGGAAGTGGATGATCTTAGGGTCTTTTCCAACCCTAACCATTCTATGATTTATTCATTTTTCTTGATTTTTTTGTTGGCAACAACACAGCCAGAATAACACATTGGGATACCTTGAGAGGTGATTTTGGACTGATCCAAAAATGCCTGCATCAGCCACCATCAATGCACAGTTCATCTCAGCATGGACATTTCCCTGGAATCCCCCAGGGGCTGGGCTGGTCTCCCTCACTGGGGACACTCACGCTGTCTCAGGGGTGAGGATCCTGCTGTGCTTGCCCTTGACACCGTGGTAACAAAACGGGGCTGCTCAAAGGGAGCTCTCGCGGTCAACGAGGGATAAAGGGTAATACCCAGTGCTCACCTTGAGCCTAGCACAGCCTAAAGTGTCCCGGGCTGCCTCCTCCCCTAAGGCTCTTAGGAGAGCTGGCACTTCGAAACCACTGACCCACACAGAGCGGTGACTTTCCACATGGAGTTTAGCATCAGTTTAACAAAGCCAATTAAAAGCCTCTCTCCATTTAATCTGGTACAACCTTCCCTGCAGAGCAGGCTTCACCAAGCACTACTGGGGATAGATGGAAGAAGCTTTAGGAAGGGAGGTCAGGCTCAGCTTCTCTGTTGTCTCTCCTTTCAGCAACACTTCCCCATAAGACAGGTAAGCTTAAGAACAAGACCTAACAATTCCCTGGTATCAGCTGCTCTCTCAGGACATCCCTTTAAACTACATTTTCAAGGTATCTTCTTTCTAAAATGTGTTCAACAAACTAATTAAAACCCACCTATTTTAATAGCCTTACCTGCAGAAGCCTTGGTTATCATATGCCATTTTAGCCGCATCATCAAATACGGATTTATTCCTGAGTTTCTTATTGTTGTTATTGTTTCTTCCCTTAAACCCAAAGTAAGCAGCTTGCATGTGCTCTAGTTCTTCGGCTCTGAGCTGGTACCACAGCTGCATATCTCTGTGAATAAAGCAAGGGATACAATACATTACTGTGATAAATGGCTGTATCTTTGAGCTTTTATCTGACTACAGCCCTGACTCCCTAGAGTTTAAATCTAAACCCATGTTTACTGAAGGCCGCACTAAAACACATACCTGAACTTCAACTGCAAGACAAATTTCCAGCAACTTACATAGCTGCTTAAATACCTTAAGGTGGCGGTGTGTTCTTAAATAGCATCAATTTTATTCTGTACAATAGTGGTATTTTAAGTATTATCAACCACTCCTCAAAAAAACAAAACAACCCATACAAATAAACCGATAAAAGCACCTGTGGACTGTTCAAGGACAAAACCCCAATAATGATATCAATTTGATTCAGTGGATTTTGAGACTACAGCTAATAGCGGAAGTCACCTGAGGTGTGATGTTGTGTCCTTTTCTCAGGGACCTTCATCGGTGACACTTGTTAGGGCAGATCCTGTGTATGTGAAAAGACCTCAGCCCATCCCCACTTTATGGAACAAACTATTTCAAAATTAAAAAACAAGAAGTCTTTTCTGGGATGTTTTGCAGCTCTGCTGTTGCTGAGGTTCAAATCACCAGGCAGGTTGAAAAAATGAATTGACTTAAAAATGGTAATGTTGCCTTTGTGAAGAGCAGGGCTTATTCGATTTCCCTTTGGAAGCACTCAAGGTGCTTTTCATGCCGCTCTCTGTAACTTGGGGTGAGGGGGGAATCACTATTTCTTTTCTTGTTTGTAAAAGAAGTCTAAGATTCCGGCAATGACAGACACTCTCATGAGCTGATGGGACAAGATTAAAAAATTGTGAGAGCTGGCGATTCTGACTTTGGTGTCCTTTCTGTCCTCTCAGGATGCAGTCCTGCTCCTACTAAAGAAAACAGTGGCTATGCTCATGCAGCAGGACAAGGTCTGTGAGGAGGCTAAATTATGTGAGGATTTTCAGTATCCTTTATCCTTCTCTCCAAATGCAAGGATAAAAGATAAGACAGCACTTTAAAGATCATCAAACAGGTACCTTGAAAGACAGGTTTGTAGGCAAAGGTGATCTCTTCTAGTTAGAGCAACAAAAAAGTAGACAAAGACACAGAGCCAAAGAAGAGTGGACAGGCAGACTTCAAAGGTAAAAGCAAGGTGAGGACATCCTCCCTACTCCATGGGTACAGGCTATCTTTTCTTTCAGAGATGGTCTAAGAGACACTTATTTAACTAATGCCCTACCAAATATTCTCATTTTGCATTAAGTTACCAAACCTGCAGCTTCTCTTCAGATTGATGTTTTGTGCATCCAAAAGTCAATTCATGTTTTCCACCTACATCAACAAAAGAGATGCTACCACCACATCTGGTATGTTGCAGATCGAGCATATTACACACAGGGATGCGTTACTCTTTCTCACATGACATGGACAGTTTTTACATCATCTCAGGTGCTTTCTACATCAACACCAAGCCACACAATGTCTACAGTGCCCAGAGCACCCCTCCAGGAACAGGGCTTGTGGACAGGCTGTGTTGGAGCAGTACCTTCATGGGACAGTGAAGGGAGGACAGAGAGCAGAAGAGAATAGAGAAGCTCCCAGCAAAGGGAACAGCGTTAAGCCTGACGACAGAACCATGTCAAAATGCCTCATGTGAAGGGCTTTTCTTTCATAAGAGAAAAATATCAAGTTATCAACATCATGTGAATGGCTAACAGAGAAAACTTCATTTGAAATAAATGAAAAGCAAGGACTTTGATATGAACAGTCTTACCAAAAAGTGGCAATTCCAAAAATACCAGTCAACCCTTCCATTTCAAGTTATTTCATGCTACCTAATATAATGAATGACACCAAAGACTTTCTTTTTTTTTGTCTCACAAAATCCTTTGGAGGGAAAATCTGTATCTACAGTCAAATTTCAATATGACAGAATTTCCCCCCTAAGCTGGTTCCCTCACAGCTCTAGATAAAACACAGCTCAGAGCAGAGACCTTCACTGTGTCCTCCCTGATCTCCCTCTACTCCACTACTACTTTGTCTTACTCCAAACACTTCTTGGAAGCAAGAAGAGGTAGGGGGCTGGAACTATAGGATCTTAAGGTCCTTTCCAACCCTAACGGTTCTATGAATCTACGAAAATCAGAGTCCAGGTTACTGTGTGCACCACAAGACAGGTGCAGCCATCTCCACGAGCTACATGCAGACATGGGGACAACAAGCAGGAAAAGTGAGAGGAAAATCAAAAAGAGGCGCTCATGGAAAGCATCCTGCAGCAGACACTTTGGATGGATGCTCACATGAGCAACAGTGGCTTGGCTTTAGTGTACAGCCAGATGTGGTCATGCAGCCACAATTCACACTGAGTTTTTATAATGACTGAACTGGTAAAATTTACTTCTTCCTGTGCCTGTTTCTTATCCTGCACTTCAAGCCAGAAGACAAAATCCTATCTCCTTCCAGCACAACGTTGTGACAGCTTTGCAGGCAGTGAAGACTTTGATGGTTTCGACATGGGTAGATTAATTTTCCCAGCAGTGTTCAAGAAAAGCAAAAGAGAAAGAGAGAGAGAAGAAGGGAAAACGCAGCCAAGGTTAAGTAATTCAAGGAGAGAAAGACTGGGCCAGCAAATGAGACTTGTATGTTCGGCTTTTGCATAATCCTGGATAAATCCAGATCTGCCCAGGCCCACTGAGGTTATCTCATATTAACGGACATTAGGTACCTAAATACGCTTGAATTCCAAGTCTTTCTATGCCTAATGCTTGACCTACAAATTAAGGATTTTAAGTAATTAACATCATTGCAGTGTTGTAAGCATCAAGTCCTTTGAAGCTCTCTGCTATCACAGCAGTGGGATCCATCTGATGTACAGTCTTACACTGGCTTTAAAAATCTTTTCTTGACATACCTTTGAGTCTTCCTCCTTTCACTTTTCTTCACACACTTGATAAGACAACAAGTTAAAAAAGCCATGGACATCAGCAGAATGACGGCACAGCTCACGATGGAGGCAATCACTGCAACCTTAAATCCAAAACTCTCATATTTTGATATGGCTGCAGCAAAGCAAACACAGAAGCATGTTTCTAAAGTCAAGCCATGAATTCATCATTCACGTTTTCATTAAACCATCCTGAAACCTACCTGCTTCCTGCTTCTGCTAATAGTAGCTCAGTGAGGACTTTCACGTTAGACTGCGCCAAGATACCAGACTACCTCGGTTTCAGTTTAGAGCTATGCAAGCCTCCAGTTAGGGTATTTAAAAATCTCTATTTTATAAGCTACTAATGAATTGTTCACAAGTATTTAATCACTGTAATTAATTAAACACAATGCCTTGAGTGCTGCAGTAGCTAAAAAGCACAACTTTGTCAGCATCTCAAATGCAGTTGAGCTAGCAGACTTATAAGCAATTGTTAACAAGGACTGGAGTTGCAAAATCAAATACTGAGAAGGGGAAATGGGTTTAAAGAACTGTCCTTTAGAGCAGGGACACTTCCATGTAGTTGCATTCTACCTTGCAGGCAGTGAACAACAGCTCTTCCTCTGTTTGGGGAAGGACGCAGGATGGCAGAAGGGACAACATCTGCAGGGCTGAGTGTTCACAGTGATCTGATGCTGGAAGTGAGTTATCCAGACAAAAGGAGGACTGGGAATGTGGTGTGGCACAGCTAAAGCAGATCTCTGCCAACTCATCTGGAGCACTAAGTGGGTCTTGCTTCGTAACTCCTGTAGCTCTTTCGACACCACAATGATCAGCACCAGAAATGGTTCAGCTGAGCTCCACACAAAGCGTTATATTGCTGCAGCCTCTGGACGGAAGGATTTGTCTCATTTTTCTTTAATGGAATCTCTCAAATAAGATGTAAGAATAGCTGAGTTTGAGAGAAGCACAAAATGTCTATAGGAGCCATCCATCTACTTGTGATTTAAAATATCCAAGGTCTGAGACACAGACTGAGATTCTCAAAGCTCAGAGGTACCATGTTTTGCTTGGGCCTAGTCAAGTTACTAACTAATTAGTAATAACTAAATTATTGTATTAAAGAAGAAGGAACGCAGCATGCCATTCAAACATGGTTTGTCAATGTGGTAACTTTCCCAGGCGGCTGCCCACAGGCAACAACCTGGAATTCTTCACAAAATATCACTGCGTTTCTTTTGCAGCAAAAGTATCCTCAGGAAAGAAAGCCAGGAGATTAGAGGGCTTGCAAACAAGTTTGCACATTAGCTGCTCACAGCTACACATTTTCTAAAGAATGGCACAGCTTGTAGCTACAGAGCCACAGTTACTCTGGGTGCTGCACTGCGGGAGCTGGTGACAAGAGATCAGGCACAAACCTGACTGAGTCTCTTCTGCGTCCTGATAACGAATTATGTCAGCACACTTATGGAGCACATTACAGTCAGTGAGGGCAACTTTGAAGGAAACTGAATTCGTCTTTTTCTTTGCCCAGATGTCTAGAATTAATTCTAATGCAGGAGACAGGCAGGGCAAAATAAACACAATGCAGCCTAAAGGCGTTGCAAATGGTTTGGAAAGAACCTTACGCTGGCAGGAGGGCACTCCGGCTGTCCACTGGGTACCATTCCCTTTCCAAACACAGGTGATGAAGCCAGGTCCCTCCAGCTGGTACTCAGCAGAGCACTGGAATGTTATGACTGTCCCCACAGCTGTGCCGTTGCCATGAAGGATGTTTAGTGTGCCGAGCTGGGGAGGGAAGACGTGGCTGCACTGCCCTGCAGAACAAAACCAAAGTGAGACAATGCAGTGCCAGAGCCACTTCAGTTTTATTGCTATCAGACTGTAAATCTGAGTTAATGGTCAAAACAAATAACAGACCTCGGGGAGGCTGATGCTGAGGGCTCTGCCAAGCACCAGCCCAACGCCAAACCCCCTTCAGTGCCATTCAACAGTTCCCCTACTCTGACCCCTGACACAAAGCGGGGTTTTACTTGTATTGCAACATCATCTGCTTAGGCTGGTACACATTAGACTATTAAAAAGTCATTCTGGGAGTGGCGTGATCTCCTATGGATTCCTGTCTTGTTGGACAGTGTGCTCAATTAAGTACACAGGCTGGCACCTTCCATACTGGAAGTACTCATAACACATATTCCCCCATGCCAACTTTGCAAGCTCTGATGGACTGATCACATATTTCAGGACGTCAATCTACTTGGTAGCACCTTTTCCTGATCCTATGGGAACTTCCTGTCTTTCAAGAGACTTCACCTCTGTTAGTCTTGCCTGAAATGAGCCAGTAGCTTCAAAAGCCACACAGAGGGGACAGAAACATAGACATACAGCAGAACTACATTCGCCTCACCTCCATTTTCAATGACAAACTCTGCTTTATAGTGTATCAGCCATTTTTACTGCATTTTTGTTCATTCAGCTTTTCTCTTTTTTTTTGTTTCTTTGATGTTCATACTGCTGCCCTTTGAGTCATGGAGCTCTTCTCCTCCTGGCCACCTAATGCCAGCCACCAACTTTATACATTGAGTTTGACTGCCACAACATTCCTTGTTTCACACTCATTTTAAACACACATTTGAAGACAACATCCAATATCCAGATAGACTTCAAACCCAACAATAATACAGGGTCTGGTTTTGCACATGTGCAGTGACATATCTGGAAACTCTTCTTTTTTTCTACATTTACTGAATACCAGCACTGCTTCTGCATTAGAGCCCGGGTTCCCTACCTTGCACTGGATTTCCAGATGACTTCAGCAGACTAAGAGGCAGCTGCATTGCAGTTGCATGACCAGAATTGCAAACACTAAGATGACACACAAAAGATTAAAGGGGGAAAAGATGATTCCCACACTTATAAGCAAGAAGAAATGTAAGTTTTTAAGAGCCCTCTTGAGAATATCTTGACAGAATCACATGTTGATAGAAAATGTATTTTATTTTTAATACTAAATCTCCCAGTCTGGTCATTCATTAATATTAAGCTGCTGCAAACAAACCACAGCAGACATGCTGACTGCTCATCTTCAATCTACTCTCTTAAAAACCCAACCCACTGGAAAACAAAGAAATCTCAGCAAAGGAACAAGCAAAACCCACAGTGACAATATCTGGTCTAATCTACTAAGTAAATACGTATTGATGTCTAGCTTTTAAAACCATGCCTGGTTCAATTCCAGGTAGATTATTTCTGTTCGTTTTGCCACTTCTTTCAGTCTCTTCTTATAGCAGCAATTTGCCTCAATGACAGCAAATATTTTCTAGAGGGTCACTTCCCTTCATCTCTTGCCCTTCCCTCCAACATCCTGATACTGGCACACATGGGATGTGCACATGGGACGATCTCCTCCTCACTCCAGATGAGTATTACAAGTTTGAACTTTTCTTTTTACTTTAATGACTCAGAGACTTCCCATGAAAAACCATGATTCTAAGATGCAAAGTATCTACCTTTTTGCGTTTTACACTTTCAAGGCCATTTTTAGATACCAGATCACATACTCAGAGTTCACCTGGGTGACACTTGTAGCTGCACAAGATGCAGAAGGTAAGTCAGGGCTAAATGTGATTCAAAGCCCATCTGCTTAGCTACCATAGTAGCCCTCATTAGACAGTTGCAGTAGACTTGCCAGTTTACCTGGACTTATTATTCAGCCTCTGCTCTCCAAAGAAATGTTCATTTGGAAATGGATCCTTTATTTCAAGACATATTTCATCTAATCTAGCATTGACCATGCTGAGTAATAGGTGCAGCTGTAGTTGGTTCAGGTTCTCTTGACCCTTTCCTGCACAGTCCTTGCCAATGACAGTGTATGCTGAGTGATTAAAATCTCTGAATGTCAGCGCCCTTCTCAGCATTATTCCTCATCTGTGGATTTTAACATATCTTTCTTCACTTCAGCACTACAAAGATTTCCAACAATGTCCCATGAAATCATGGATATTTCCTTGCTTTGACCAAGGCTGTAACAGCACTATGTCATCCCCAGAGGATCATTCCCATAGGAATGTAGTTGGGGCAGGACCCCCAGAGGTTCTCATTAATGACAGCTAATGAGAGCTCAACTTTTGAAAGCTTCTATACCTGGCTCTACACAGATGATAAGATGAAAGTTCATCAACTGCATATTACATACCTGCATTTGGCCAGAGCAGAAATATCATTTCTTCTTCCACTTCACACTATTTTTTGCACTTTACAAATACTTTTATTGCAATGCATAAATGGATGTTTGCTGGTTTGACTTTGTGAATTTCAGCCAAGTTCAGATTTAATATCCCTGGATAAAATTTGCCCTTGTTTTCATCAGTGATAGTCTTCTAATAACTCATTTGTAAAATGTCTCCTGTAACCTCTAAAATCCTTTGCCATTAACTGTCTATAATGTTTTTGTGGTTACTTGCTGCATTCACTTTTCTGCTAGGTTAATTTTACCCTTCCATCTCCAGAAAATCATTGCTTAGGTAAGCTTCTGCCTTCATATTGAAGCAGATGTTCCAGACAGATGTTGCTCAGTAGTGCTTACTCCAACCAAGGGCTTTCTCAGTCTCATGCTCTGTCAGGGAGGATGGGAAGCCAGGAGGAAGCAGAGACAGGACACCTGACCCAAACTAGCCAAAGGGATATTCCATACCACAGCACGTCATGCCCAGTATAGAAACTGGGGGGAGTTACCCAGAAGGCCCAGACTGCTGCTCGGATTGGGCTGGGTAGTGGTCAGAGGATGGTGAGCTCTTCCCTTGTTATTTCCCTTATCATTATTATCACTGGAGGTAGCAGCAGTGGTTTGTGTTATACCTTAGTTACTGCACTGCTCTTATCTCAATATTCTTTCCATTTTCCTCCCCATCCCTCCTGGGGTGGGGGAGAGGAGGGGAGAAGAAAGGGGGAAGCGAGTGAGCGGTTGCACAGTTCTGAGTTACCAGCTGGGCTTAAACCACAACAGTCCTTGCTTAAACCATGACAACTCTTCAGGCATGTTTATCTAACTATATCTGCTACACCCAAGAATTTCACTGTTGGTTTTTTAAATACAGTATGTCTCTATTTTTGGTGTCAGCTGAGGCTGGTGGTGGAGGCTGCATTGCCTCCTGAAGTAAAATACAAACACTGCATTTGTGCTGACCGGATTTACACCTTGATTTATATTTCTCTTCTGAACATCTAGAAAACATCATGTTCGGGTCTTGGTTTGCAGGAACTGTTAGCACCCAGAAATGTAAAACTGAATTAACCCCCTAATTATTGCTCACAGAGCTTTTGCAATAGCTACATCTCAAACTCCACCAATTCATGCCTGACAGCCACCACCTAAAGCTAGGAGGAACACTTGAGGACTTAGCCTACCAGTCATTTCTACGTAGTTTATAATAACCACAAAACCTCGTGATGTGTTGTTCAGTTTTGATTAGCTTCATGGCATTGTTTCTAGACTCGATAGGTGTCTCCAGCACCCAGTTCCCATTACTCCTCACTGTTGTTCTTCACTCCCACGCTCGTGTTCTGCTTATGCTTCCAGATAGTGGCTATTACTCCCAAATACAAGAAGAAAATGTAAAGCATCCACTCTCGTGAACGGAGACAGCCCTCAGCCACCAGCTGCCCAAGTCAGTTCAAGTTCCTGCAGCTACTTCTGCAGCTTCTGGTAAAGCAAGAGGTGATTTATACAAATGCATTTCCTAGCTTGGCTTCACACTGAGATGCTATCCAGCATTCAAAAAGTATCTGAATCTGCTATTACTGTCTGCCAACTGAGAAGAAGGGGATTGGCTATAGCAAATGAACAGATTATTTCATACGAAAAATAACTGTCCTCAAGGTAAAAACACTAAAATGCTGCATACTCCATAAATTCTTAATTCGGCCAATCCTCCAGGTTCAGAAATAGCCACATACATAATTTCCAGGCATTGAAAAATAAAATCGTAATGCAAGAATTAAAGAAAAATAATCTGAAATATCTATTCTCACGTAGAGCCAGGATTATCTGTATTGCAACATCAATTTGTCAGAAAGAGTTACCATATGGTTTCATTGTCAGAAAGCTGTGGATTTGTATTTTACTGATAAGAAAATAGAAATGAAAGAGCAACCGAGACATGCTTGCCCATTAAACATTTCCTGTGCACCTTCCATAGTGAAATATAAACTAAAAAAATCAAATACACCCCATAAGTATATACTAAAATGCTCTAAACCAGAACAATAATTACCTGAAAGCACGTTACCAAGATTGCCACTCACAGGTTTTGCAGAAAGAGAGCAATCCATGACTTTGCCTCATTATTCCCATATACACATGTCGTGGTTTAACCCCAGCCAGACAACTTGTGCACTTACTTCCAGTGAGTCATGCCAGGCTGGAAGCAATCGAGGCCCATGTTAGTCCCCCCCTTCCCCAGGGGCTGCCCCCCCTTCCCCGCTCCCAGAGGGGTGGGGAGGAGAGTCGAAGGAATGCAACTCCCACGGGCTGAGATTAGAACAGTCTAGCAACTAATGTACAATACGAATCACCACCGCTACCACCAACGACAACCATGATAAGAGAAAATAGCAAGGGAAAGGAGTACAATACCATGCGCCGAACAACGAGTCCGACCCGGCAGCCCCCCCTGTCCTTCAGGGTAACTCCCAGTTCCCCCCTGGGCATGACGTGCTGTGGTATGGAATACCTCTTTGGTCAGTTTGGGTCAGGTGTCCTGTCTCTGCTTCCTCCCAGCTTCCCCTCCTCCCCGGCAGAGCATGAGGCTCACAAAGT